GCGTCCAAGTGGCTCATGTTCGATCCCTGGGAGGCCCAGCGCCCCGTCTTCACGCCCACGGCGCGCGTCCTCGACCACTTCGACTACGAAATCAACCACGTCATGGGCGGCATCGAGTGCACCGACGGCACCCGCAAGCGCGCCAAGATCGTCCTCCTCGCGGGCGCCGACCTGATCCAGACCCTCAGCACCCCTGGGGTCTGGGACATCCGCGACGTCGATCACATCCTCAGCCACTACGGGACCTTTGTGCTGGAGCGCAACGGCACCGAGCTGGACTCGGCCATTGCCAACCTGAAGCAGTGGGAGCACAACATCCATGTGGTCCGCCAGGTACGTCCCTCCACGTGAAACCTCAATTAACAAAGCGTCAGAGAGTTCGCGATGGCTGACAGGATCAATTCCTATAGGTCGTGAGCAATGACGTGAGTAGCACAAAGGTGCGCCTGCTCATCAAGCGTGACATGAGCATCGATTACTTGTAAGGATGACCAATTCGCTCGTCTACCTCAATTGACCGCGCACTAATCGCCAAACCTCTGCAGAATACCCGACGCCGTCATCGATTACATCTACGAGAATAATCTGTACAAGGTGGACTTTGATCTGCCACCCCTGCCAGAGCCCAAGGGCAAGAAAAAGGCCATTGCGGACGGTGCCATCTCCGGCCCCAGCGATGGCTGAGCGACTCCGACGTCAAACCGAACTTTTTTGCAAATCCAGAAGCGAAACTTTTTGTTACGAGCAACGAATGTAATGACTTCAAGGGCCCACTGTACATACGACCCGACCCCCCGATCAAATGACATGTGAACGGGACGGTAGTTCAAGCCCGGGGAATTTGTGTAACTACCTTTCTCCTCTGCGGCTGGATATCCATCTTTTTTTTTTTTTTGTTTCCTTGGCCGGAGCAGGCGAAGCTGCCTTGCTCTTCGCCGTTCAGCTACACACGGTAGCACTAGGATTGTCTGCTCAGGCATTGTCTTGTTGTCTTTGTTTATTGGGCCATGTTGGATTCCTTTTTGCTGATTTCAGGGTTTTCCTACATCTGGTTATTCCCTTGTATTGTCCTGGCTTTTACCCGTTGGGCTGTCTTTTCCTAGTTTCGGCCGATAGAGCTGCTTGATGTTTTTGGACATGCTACCGAGGGTCATGGGTATAGATTTACAGCTGTTAGAGGACACCCATATCACTTGAGCCATCGGGAAGTTTGTCGTTTCGACGTTCCCTTCGGCTTGGCTCCTTGGCGCCCGCCCGCCGCTCCTGGCTTGAAGGGTGAACATATAGAAAACCAGGACCACCATGTATCGATTTGGTAGAAAGGCTGAATTGGCTTGGAGCTGCGGAACGGGGCTTACTCGCATCTGCGTCCCGAGGGGGTTTTGGTTGCGCGCGGCCGGAGCCGGGATTGATCATGAACTGCCGAGCTCTGGAGACGACCACCAGGGGCTGGAGAGGAAGAGCAGTCCCTTTTTGAATCAGGTCGGATAGACGGGACGGGATCTAGTTTCCTCATTTAACTGGCCAGATACTGCCCTCTTTTTTGTCTTCGTTATGTGGTGTGTGGGGGAGATCGTCGGATGGATGCACGGATCTTGGACGTTGCTCCGGCCCCAATGCACGGTTGGCCGGTAGAAGGATCAATGGTCAGATAGCAAGCAAGCATACCTAATACACGAAGCTCCCCAATTGACTTCCCCTGGGCGAATTCATGCAGTGACATCGTGCCCGTGATTTGGTACATAGGATTTAGGGTACAACGGCCGGAGCGACTTCCCAACTGTAATTGATGGAGACGAGGAAGTAGCGCCCACGTGGGCAGTTGCTCTGCGGGTTGTGGAATACCCTCGCTCTGGATTTTGCCATCTCTGCAAAAGAGACGAGGAAGGCGGGACTGTCCGTGCTGGAAATCCAGATGCTCACACGTGCAGCATCGCACCCATGCAGCATTTCGGCCTCGACGAAGCGTGTGCACTGTGGTTATTTGCCCCGTTCCTTGCAGTAGCACAGACTATGATTACAAGCTTCTTCTTTACCTTATCTTTGGTGCGGGGCCGCCCGCTCCAGGGGGGGCGAACTTCAACCTGCCTGCTATCAGGACCGGCGATTCCCGTGCTCTCCACGGCCTCGGGAGGACACAATGGAATTGATGGATCGATGGCAGATAGCAGGGTATTTGTATCCATGGGTAAGGGGGAGGAATAAGACAGCGACCGCGCTGCACAGAGGCAGAGCTGAGCCTGCTCTCCAGCGTGCTGAGCCGTGAGAAGCTGTGTCTCAGACCAATGAGGGAGCCCAATGGTCAGCGTGCTCATTTTCGCCTGCAGAAAGCGGCATGGTGCTTCTGGGCATGGATACGGCTTCTGGAAGCTGAGTGGGCGCGCCTGGCCACCATGGATCAACAGACCCAACAAGGAAGCTCGCTGTGCAGGCCCTCCTTGGCTCTGGGAGCAATCAGATCCGGCCGTCTTACCTTTCTGTCGAGGCCAACGCAAGCTACGATGCGGGAGATTACCTACCTTTAGCAGGTGCGGGTACGGATCGAGTAGAGGTTCTTTTGTCGTCTGGATACAAATATGTCTGGATGGGCTTTGTCTTGGGTTCGTTCTTCTCCTTCTCCCTTGTTAGTCCATTGGTGAGCCGTCTCATCTGGTGCCAGTCTTTCCTTAATACTTAATTCTACATTCATTCCTTGCTGCCTGCAGTATTCAATTGGATTCCCAGGCCCGTCATGAAGACCTCCGCTGCTACCCTCTTGGCGGCTGCCGGCTCCGCTGCGGCTGTTACCATCTCCGAGATCAACGGTAATAAGTTTATCTCACCGTACAATGGCACCCAGGTCACCGGTGTCGAGGGTCTCGTGACTGCTATTGAGAAGAGCGGTATCTTCCTCCGGTCTACGGAGCCGGATCAGGACGACCGCACCTCCGAGGGCATCTACGTCTACAACAAGGCTATCCGTGACAAGGTTACTGTTGGAGATGTTGTCACCCTCGATGGAAAGGTTGATGAGTACAGGTATGTTGTAACCCGAACTTTCCTGCCAATGAGAATGAGGATTCAGGGCTAACGTGCATACAGGAGCTCTGCTCTGTACTCTTACCTCACCGAGATCACTTCACCTACTAATGTGGTTGTCAAGTCGTCCAACCACACCGTGAAGCCTCTTGTCCTTGGCGTTGACACCCTCTCCCCCCCAACTTCTGACTTCTCCTCTCTTGATGTGGGCGGCATCTTTGGTGTTCCCAACGACGTGAACCGCATCTCTGTCGTCAACCCTGAGCTTGAGCCCACCAAATACGGTCTTGATTTCTGGGAGAGTCTTGTCGGACAGCTCGTCACTCTCAAGGATGTCGTCCAGGTCAGCCGTCCCAACCAGTATGGTGATGTCTGGGTCCGCGGTGACTGGAAGGTTACTGGAATTAATGAGCACGGCGGTGTGACCATGCTTGACGGAGGTAGGTCATGGTATTCAAACGTATTAGTCAAGATCTCAAAGTCTGACCTGTAATTTACAGATGCCAACCCCGAGACTCTTGTCATTGGCAGCCCTCTTGATGGCTCCTCTAACCCCGATGACACCAAGATGGGTGATACCATCGGTGATGTTACTGGCATTGTGTACAACGCATTCGGTTTCTACAGAATCCTTCCTCTGACTGCCATCTCCCCTGTTAAGACTGCCAGCGCCGATGCCCCTGGTGCCTCATTCAAGTCCGAGGGCAACTGCCGTGGCATCACCTTCGCCAACTACAATGCCCGTAACCTCGGACCCGAGTCCAAGACCATTCCCGGCATCACCTCGCAGATCGTCGATAAGATGTTGTCTCCCGATCTCATCTTCCTCCAGGAGGTTCTCGACGGCTCCGGCGAGACTGATGATGGTGTTGTCTCCGGCGAGAAGACCCTCCAGGCTCTCGCTGCTTCCATCGAGTCGGTTAGTGGAGTTGTCTACAACTACACCGAGATCGTCCCCATCGATAAGCAGGATGGTGGTGTTCCTGGTGGAAACATCCGACAGGCCTACCTCTATCGACCTGACATTGTTGAGCTGTACCAGCCCAACCAGGGCACTGCCGAGGACGTTAACGAGGTCGTGGACGGCCCTGGCCTGAAGTACAACCCTGGCCGTATCGACCCTGCCAATGCTGCGTGGAGCAACAGCCGCAAGCCTCTGGCTGCCGCCTGGAAGGCCGTCAAGGGAAGTGGAAAGCCATTCTTTACTATCAATGTCCACCAAGCCAGCAAGAGCGGCGGCTCCTCCTCTGTTCACGGCGACGCCCGCCCTCCCATCAACTCCGCCGTTGACGCGCGCATTGAGCAAGCAAAGATCACTGCCGTAAGTTAAACTCGCAATCAATCCCATCCTTTTTATGACTAGTATGCTGACAGAGCTGCTCCAGGCCTTCATTGCCCAGATCCTCGAGAAGGACGCCAACGCCGGCGTCATCATCGCCGGCGACTTCAACGAGTTCACCCAGGTCGAGCCCATCCAGGTCTTCCTCGAGAAGTCTGGAATGCTGGACATTGAGGATATCGTCGGCATCCCCGCCGAGGAGCGCTACACCTACCTCTTCGACATGAACAGCCAGGCCCTGGACCACGTATTCATCAGCCCCGGGCTCAAGAACGGCGCCCAGTACGAGCACCTCCACCTCAACACGTGGCAGAACTACGACGACCAGGTCAGCGACCACGACCCCAGCGTTGCCAAGCTCAACGTCTGCGGTTGCGGCTCCAAGAAGAAGCGAAGCCTCACCCTGAACTAGATTTTCCACGAGCTGGTTGGCTGGGTCTCCGAGGATAGTTTTTTAATAGATGTCTGGTATCATGAGAATGAAAGATTAATGTTTATGCTTCTTTTTTGTGTGTGCCGTAAGCCAGTGAAATCTGGAGATATGATTCTTGGCCAAGTACATGTGAACGGGCTCTCAACTTTCAATGTGGTAAGATGTCGCCAAATCCAATGCTATTAAATATGTAAATTATACGCTCTACCTCTACCCCCCCTCCTCATCGTCGTCTTCGCTTTCTTCGCGATTGGGATCTGGCATGACAACATCGTTCAGAAAGGATACCTGGTTCTTCATTAGTCTCGGTTTTTTTCAACAAAATTTGGGAAAACCAACAAATGGCTCGAGGCCACGGAAGCACTCGGCAACCTTCTCCTGGGCGGTATCCGAGGCCAGGCTCGACTCGTCAATCTTGGCGCCCAGCGTGAAGTTTTTCAAGCGGAGGAGCTTGATGTCCCGGTGATCTGCGTCGAAACCCTAAAAGTAATTTTCACAGCCCCAGTTAGACCTATTTTAAAAAAGCCAAATAATGACGTAGAATGGAATGGGATGGAATGTGCAGTAACATACCATTGGCTTCTTCTTCAGCGCGTTGGACTGGTTCTTGTCGAAGAAGGCCTCGATGGCCTTCTCGTCGTCGGCGCTGGGCTTGACGCCCGGCAGGTAGGTCCGCTTCAGCCCCGGGGTGTTGAGGACCTCCCGCCACCGCTCCGGGTGCCTGTCAATGCTCCTGCGGAGCTTCGCCAGCTGGTCCTTGTCCGGGCACCAGAGGCCGCCCCCTATGAATGACGACTTGGGCTCGCAGTGGATATAGTAGCACGCGTACGGTCCCTTGCGACCTGTGCGTGAGAAGGCGGCAGAGAAGTGAGGCTACATGAAGAAGCCAGGTCAGCAAAAGGTCACTGGGAAAGAGAGTGGCCTACGCGCAGGTGGGTTGAAGCTTAGAATTGGAACAGACCTTGTAGGGGGTCGGGTCTTTGCTGAAGCGGATGTCCCTGTGTATGCGGAAGATGACATCCTTTACTGGGAGTTCAGGGATGGTCTCGTCGACGTCGATGGCAGTGAGCGTGGCTGCGTCAACAAACGACTCCCAGTCCTTGAGGGCTCGCCGGTACTCGCCGTCGTGTGCTGGAGTAGCTGTTAGACACCAATCGCTCAAATCGCACTACTGATTCAAGGCGATGCTGGATACTCACATTTGAGCCATGACCTCTTGTTATTGGCTTTGAGATCCTTGAGAAAGAGGAGCGTATTCTTGTGGATCTTGTTGTCCTCATATTCAACCCCTCCAGTATCCCTCATCTTCTCCAGCGGTACGATCCTGACCCTGGGAGGCGCATCTTCATCATCATCGTCGTCGTCTTCGTCATCATCCCCCTCCTCTTCCTCCTCTGGCTTCTCATCGTTATACTCGTCCCCGTCGTCTTGGTCCTCTCCTGACTTCTCATCCTCGTTGTACTCATCCTCGTCGTCCGGCTCCTTCTCAACGCGCTTCTTCTTCTCCGAAGCTACAGCTTTAGATGGCCTACCTCGCTTCTTGGGAGGCGGAGCGTCATCTTCCCTGTCCTCGCTTTCCGATTCCTGAAAATACTTGCTTTTCTGAGGCGTGCTGGAGATCCGGCCAGAGCGGCGCCGTCCTTGCCCAGGGTCCACCTCTGCCGCTGAACGCTTGCGAGCTGGCATTGTGAGAATGGGGGAGGGGGGGAGATGGTTACTTTGTGGCGAACTGGAGGTCAAGAGGAAGCAATTCCGCCCCTAGAAATGGGATTGTCGGGATTGTTAGGGGTTCAACGGCCCGGGATATGTCTTTTCTAATGAATGCCGTCTTTCTTCTGGTCAATATAGTATATTCTTCAAGTCATGACGACATTTTAGCACGCGTATCATCAGCGCGTTCCGAAGGGGCCGCTTAAAACGCGAGATCACGTGCCGTCAACTCACCAGTCTCGGACCCCTGTCTATTTTCTAGGTACTGTATGATAAATCATGAATTCATAGTCCGATTGCTGTGTGCTGTGATACGATGACCTAGAAACTCCATATAAGGTATAACTTTCACCCATAATGCCATTTTCAGTCCCATTGAACAAAATCCATCCTTGCGCCACTCCTTAAATGCCCCAGTATGCATGCCTTCGATTTGCGTCCATATTTATCCCATTCCAAATTGAAACTTTGTCCCCGAGTCTAGATACTATGCTTTGTATCGAGTGGCCTTCTTAAGCCAGGGAATGAAATGGGTCATATCCCCCACCCACTTATTGGTCAGGCTTTGTTTGACGTCCTCGGGCTCGAGGGAGGTTGCTTCAGCAAGAATGACACAGATGTTTACCGCAGCCGGTAGTCTTTCCCAGTGTCCGTCTACAGCGACCTCGAGCTCTTCGGGCAGGAATACGATCCTTCTGATCTTACTTAGAAGATCGGGAAAACCCAGAGTGGCAATCTTCGACGAAGAATAAAACTTTGTAAGCTTGGCTTCGTACTCTTCCCAGTTCCCGAGTGGGATTTGAGCGATGTCCATCTTGAGTTGAGGCAAAACAGCTTGCATGCGCTGCAGTGGGGTTTCTGGTGTTGGTGATTCTTCGGAACGGAGGACACGCTCTTCTTGCCCGGTCCAGTCTTCTCCAACCTTTAGTTTGATGGAAATGAGCTGTCGACTAGCATAGAGGTCATCAAGGTTTTCTTCGTTTTCCTCTTTGATAGGTCCTTGACTCGTCGCTCTTTCGGCATCTGCCGAGAAGATGTTGGGCGTGTTGCTTGGAATGTCTTCTGACTCGGGTGTCATCAAGGCCGACTGGGCCCCTTCACCCTTGGATAGTTCACCCAGAAGAGATCCGGAGTCGAATTCTTGGGTTGTTGACTCTTCCCCTCGATTTGTCTTTGATTCTGAGGTTGCCACATCGTTTTCCTCGGCATGGTCTACGCTCGGAGACGGGGAGCTGAGGACTGCCCTCTGCTGCCTAGACCTCCGGGCTCTCTTGCGACGGTTCCAATCTCCCTTCCAATCGCCGGACCGTTTGTTCGCATCTTTTTGTGTGGTAAATGCGCGGCGGAGATATCCCACAAATTCCGTGTACGAATCAGTGGCTTCCAGGCGCTTCAAGTTCTCGCCATCAACGCGCAACTTATTAGGTGGCCTTGCTACCCTTGTGGCAGGGAGCCGGCCATCTGGAAGCCGGATAGTTCTGTGCGAAGGCCGTGTGGTTGTGTTTGGCAGGATGTACTCGATGATCCTGCCGTTGAGACACTTTATATTTTCAACGGAGGTGAAGCCCTTGCGTTTTGCTTCATCGAAAAGCGCCCCGACTGACGCGATAAAGTCGTTCGCTGCGGCTGTTCGCTTTTTGGAAGCCATGACGGGTGAGGCAGCGTCGAGAAACAAGTGTTGGTACCGAGGAAGCCAGAGGGCGGGCACTTGGGGGAAGCGACGAAGCGCCTAGAGGTTTACCTCACGCATGCGCTGTACTCAAGTTAGACACAAAGAAGTTTTGGGAGAAAAGGGATAAATACAGAGGGAGCTGGCGACCTTGGAGCCTACTAGTAATTAGGTAGTTCAATAGGTTGTGTTGCGGAACGGTAGTAGCAGGTGGTGGTAGGTGCAGAGCCGGTGTTGCGTTAGTTTGGGCAGGAGCTGCTTCGCCTGAGGTGCCTCCGAACCTGAGAGTTCAGTGAGCATCTGACCATAGGTACGTAGGTAGATAAGTTTCTCGAAGACAGTAATGTAGTGTTTTCTTCGCATGCCTAGACATATTCTTTGCTTTCTTACACAACTGTTGGTGTAAAATGTCGCCTGCAGACTTCTCAGCTTTGTTCATAACGAAGACATCGAGAGTGTTCACATAGCTGTGACACTCGGCATGAAATCTTCTGTTGCTACGAGGTAGTCTGTGGTTTTACTTTCTAGCTTTTCGTGATCTCCGTCTTCCCATTCGTTTTTATCGCCTTACGCGCAGACAGGAAATACCCTCCCTGGCAAACAACAGACCCAGCAACAACGTTCTCAAATCAAACTACAATCGTTACACCAGTCTATTGTAAAACAGGTTGACAACTACTCATATTAAATCAAAACACACGAATACCAGGGAAGTTAAGGGTGTAGTATCATATGGATGTTTCTTTCAGGTATCAAATTCAATTTCATGTAAATTAACCCATCTAAATAATCTTTATGGATGGATCTGCACCAAAATAGTGCTCAGTCATCGCGCCGTAGCCCGCCAGAAAACACCGGCAATTGGAGAAGCGGTCCTCTTTTCTTTAAAACAACATACACACATTCACATCAAGAGAGTCTATGCAAGCTTACAGCTCATCGTGGAAAGAGCCCTCGCCCTCACCAGAGCCACCGGCGCCCTGGTACATCTTGGAGGTGATGGGGTAAGCGACGTTGGAAAGCTTCTCCTTCTGCTCCTCAAAGTCCTCAGAGTTGGCGTTGGCACTGTTCTCCTCAAGCCACTCGTTGGTCTCCTTGATAGCGTCGAGGATCTATTAACATGGTTAGCCATCTGTATATCCAGTGGAAAATTGTCGGAGTAAAACTTACAGTCTCCTTCTCCTCGTCAGTGATCTTGCCACCGAGACCCTCAGCGTCGTTGACCTGGTTCTTCAGGCTGAAAGCGTAGTTCTCAAGACCGTTGCGAGACTCAATGCGCTCACGGGTGGCCTTGTCTTCCTCGGCGTACTTCTCAGCCTCGGCAACCATGCGCTCAATCTCCTCAGGAGTAAGACGGCCCTTGTCGTTGGTGATGGTGATGGACTCCTCCTTGCCAGTTCCCTTGTCATGGGCGGAAACCTTGAGGATACCGTTGGCGTCAAGGCCGAAGGTGACCTCGATCTGGGGAACACCACGGGGGGCAGGGGGAATACCGGTAAGCTCAAACTTGCCGAGGATGTTGTTGTCCTTAGTCAGAGATCGCTCACCCTCGAAGACCTGGATCAGGACCACGGGCTGGTTGTCAGCGGCGGTAGAGAAGATCTGGCTCTTGCGGGTAGGGATCTGGGTGTTACGGCCGATAAGCTTGGTCATAACTCCACCGGTGGTCTCGATACCGAGGGTGAGAGGGTTGACATCCATAAGGAGAACCTCCTCGGTACCCTCCTCACCGGCAAGAACACCAGCCTGGACGGCAGCACCGAAAGCGACAGCCTCATCGGGGTTGATGCCCTTGGAAGCCTTCTTGCCGTTGAAGAAGCTCTCAATGAGGCTCTGGACCTTGGGGATACGGGTGGAACCACCGACGAGGACGATGTCGTCAACCTCGGACTTCTTGACATCGGCGTCCTTGAGAACCTGCTCGACAGGCTTCAGGGTCTTCTTGAAGAGGTCCATGTTGAGCTCCTCGAACTTGGCGCGGGTGAGAGTCTCAGAGAAGTCGTTGCCCTCGAAGAAAGCCTCGATCTCAATGCGGGTGCTCATCTGAGAAGACAGAGTTCGCTTGGCCTTCTCAGCCTCGCGCTTGAGCTTACCCATGGACTTGGCGTCCTTGGTAACGTCAACGCTGTTCTTCTTGTTGTAGGCCTTGGCCAGGTGGTTGATGATGCGCTGGTCGAAATCCTCACCACCGAGATGGGTGTCACCGGCAGTGGAGAGAACCTCAAAGATGCCCTTGTCAATGGACAGAAGAGAGACATCGAAGGTACCACCACCAAGATCGTAGACAATGATCTGGCGCTCACCGTCGGTCTTGTCCAGACCATAGGCGATGGCGGCGGCGGTGGGCTCGTTGACGATACGGAGGACGTTAAGACCGGCAATGATACCGGCATCCTTGGTGGCCTGTCGCTGGTTGTCCTGTAAAACAATTAGTTTGATCCACGCGAAACCTTAGATAGGCAGAATACATACATTGAAGTAGGCGGGGACGGTAACGACGGCGTTGGTGATCTTCTTTCCGACGTAAGCCTCGGCGACATCCTTCATCTTGCCAAGAATCATGGCAGAGATTTCCTCGGGGGTGAACTGCTTGGCCTTGCCCTCAACGGTGACCTCGATAACGGGCTTGGTGTCCTTGTTGATGACCTTGTAGGGGAAGTGCTTGATATCGGCCTGAACATCCTTGTCGTTGAATTTGCGACCAATCATACGCCTAATTAAATAGTTAGAAAGAATACTCCAAAAAGCGGGTTTCTGAGCAGAATCGCATGGCTTACTTGACATCGAAAATGGTGTTGAAGGGGTTAGAGGCGGCCTGGTTCTTGGCGGCGTCACCGACAAGGCGCTCCTCATCGGTGAAGGCGACGTAAGAGGGAGTGATTCGGTTTCCTTGATCGTTGACCAGAATTTCGACCTTGCCCTTCTGCATCACACCGACACAGCTGTAGGTAGTACCCAGATCCTGCTCAGGTTAGTTCACGAACTCACACAATTAATCATGCTGCGATGCACTTACAATACCAATGACAGTTCCGAGGTTCTCGGTCTCCTCAGAGGCGGCCATGGCGGTTCCAACCATGGCGAGAGGGGAAAATAGGAGGGCGATCCAACAAAGGAGGCCCAGGCCCAAGGCCATTGAGCTCCTCGATGAGCGAGCCATCGTGGTTGTGTTTGGCGGTAGCAAGCTTACCGACCTGAGTCTAGAAAAAAAAGAAGGGTATTGAAAAGAGTCAAAAGAAAAGAAAAGATAGCAGGAGTGTCGAAGCGAGAATCAATCAATTCTCGAGCCTGCGACTTCACCGGATGGGGTATCTAGTGGTGATGGGAGAGGACAAGTCTGGGAAGGCTTAGGGCGACGGCTGGGGATTTTATGAAGATGTCTTCGAAAGTTTAGGTGTCCAAAAAGGCCAGATTTCACCTTGCAGTGACCGCCAACCTTCGGCCCCTGGCGCCCTGGAACTTACTGGAAATGCCCCACGTGACAGGGGTATTTAGGCCATTTTTACCGCCAGTCGCCTGGGTCGTGGCACTGTGGTTCGCACTGTGTGTTCTTCCGGCTGTGCGTAGATTAGGGCACGCAGCACAGCGACACCTGTACTTTACCCCAGAGCCATCCACAGTGCGAAGTCTGAGGCGGCGGCCCTGAACAGGACAAGTTGCAACACACACTTTCCAGCCTGGAACTCAGCTGCTCTAGTTGCAGGTGGTACTTTACGTCAGGCCAGGAGCCTTAAGCGCTCTAAAAAGGGAAAGAGTGGGAACTGCGTCCCTTGACTTATGCTTGAATTGATCTAGCTGGCCTCTTGAGACCTGGTTTTAGTTGCAATGTGGCTTTAACAAGCGGCTACTTTTGCCCGCGCCCTGCTGCAATCCACGGCAATTGTCAGAAGCTTCCCGAAATAGCAGTGGACCGTTTTTTCTTCTCCATCCAGCCTGAGCCTTGGTGGATTCCCTCGATGAGGATTTTACTTAAAAAAGCATCACCTTACTGTCCGCGTGCATGAATCGAAGGAGTCAGCCCTTCCGTTCCCTCTAAATCTAGTCCAAGGGCATATGTGTCCACCTGTGGTTCCATTCGCTCCCCGTCGGCGGCATTGAGATTCAAGACACGACCCTGCAAAGGGCTGGGGCTACATTGCAGGGCGACGGGACTTCTGCAACATTGACATGCATACTATGTAGACAGTCCCGGTCACGAACAAGGTGTTTGGCGTGTGACTCTTTTAACCTGGTGTCATGTGTGCTATGCTATGTGTAAGGTCTATATTGGCCACGTTTACATACAGTTTTCTACTCCAGCAGCCCGGCTGCAATCGTCTCGCCACCACTGCGAATGACCACTCGCTGGCCAGCTTCGAGCGGAACCTTGGATTCGAGTTTGATAGTTATCCTTGCCACACTGCCTGGCTGAACAACCTTGGGCTTCTTTTTTACCACATCTCCCGTAGCCTTGTCCAGCGTGGCAACTATGCTCTGGATACGTCCTGGCGCATGCAGACGACCTCGGTGAAGGTCCACTGGGGAAGGTAGTAGATGGTCGAACGCCATAGCCTTCATAGTGAATGAGTCATCGCAAGAGATTGAGTCAGTGGGGTGGCAAAGGATATCACCGACCCTGATGTGAATAGGGTCGATATCTGTCAAAGCCAAGTTGACATTCTGGCCCGCCACTGCCCAATCTTGCGTGTCCTTGTCCACCACAATAGACTTGATGTAGGCCGTCTCGCCACTTGGCTGAACGACTAAAACGTCGCCAACTTGCATTGTTCCTGAGTCTATTCGGCCCGACAAGGTTGTTGTTCCTTGCTGAGAGCGGAAGACTTCAGATATCGCCATGCGAAGCGGCTTAGTCAATGCCCTCGCACTTGAGGGTTCTGAGCTTTCCAGAGCTTCCAGCAACGTGGAACCTGTGTACCATGAGGCCGCCTTGTCTTCAATCGGCTTGACGATGTTGTCACCGTTCAACCCAGATATAGGAACGAAGCTCACGTGCTTCTCCTGGAATCCCAATCCAGTGAGGAAACCAGACACCTCTTGGATAATCTCATCAAACCTGTCCTTCGACCATCCTACCATATCCAGCTTGTTGACCGCCACCACAATCCGCTGGACACCAATGCTGCGTAGAAGCAACACATGCTCTCTTGTCTGTCCTTTCAGACCCTTTTCGTATGCACCAGTGTTTGCATCAATGACTAGGATGGCGAAATCGGCCTGGCTTGCTCCAGCAATCATATTGGGCACAAAATCTCGATGGCCCGGTGCATCCAGAATGGTAAATTTGGTTTGCTCCGTCTCGAAGAAATTTGTGGCAATATCGATCGTAACACCGCGATCTCGTTCCTCCGCTCTTTGGTCCATCACCCAGGCAAGGGCAAAGGACTGCTTCCCAGTCTTCTCAGCCTGCCTTCGGTATTTGTCCACAGTTCTTTGCTCGACATGCTTCAGTTCCAACAGGAGGCGTCCCATGAGTGTGCTCTTTCCTGCATCAACATGTCCTAGAAATCATGAGCACGTTGTCCTAAGACGGTACCGTGAGAGGATGTTATGCTTACCAACCACCACGAAACTAATACTCCTTTTACTTGAGCTCTTCTCAAACTCCTTCACAACATCTAGCCCCTTGTTCTTAGGCGGAGGGGCCTCGCTGATTTTCAGACTTGAGACGCTGTCTGACAACTCCTCTTTGCGACCGTTTTCTCCTTCTTTGGCGTCTTTCTTAGAGGTCTTTGAAGGGCCCGGGGCCTTCTTTCCCGCTGAAATAGAATTAGAATTAGCCCATTACTGTGCCTTAGCAAAACGCGAACCTTTGGCTTGAGCTGCAAACACAATATCATCGGGGCTGGGTTCTGAAAACGTTTTGGAGGAGTAGGACGACGACGATTTGTATGGCATGGGGAAAACATCCCGTGATGGGCGTTTCCCAGGAGCAGAGCCAAACAGCGTTCGAGCAAAGGCCGAAGGGGCGGCCTTATCGACAACAACAACAGCAGCAGTACCAGTGAGTACATCTCCCTGACCTTCCGGTTCTGTGGCTTTCCCAGCAACTTCCTCCGTTCCATCAGCCTTGGCAGGCTGTATGGAGGCCGTGTGACCAGACTCTTCTTCGGACGGAGGCACAAGTTTCTGGCGTTTGGCTAAAGGAGGGGCTGACATTTGATCCTCCAGTGGCTTATCGGACAATGACAGCTTCTCAATATCTTTCTCTGTCTGTTTTGTTCGTTCTTTCTCCTTTTTCTCCTCATTTTTCTTCTTTCTGGCTGCAGCTAGTTTCTGAAGTTTGCTCATGCCAGCGGCCCCTTCGGAACCTCCCAGAAGCCCACCTTGCGGTCGCCAAGGTTGGATGAATATGGCCTGGCGGTCTTGCGGCGTATTCAACCACGGCATATCATTAAAGTACGCGCCCGGGGTTAACCCAATCTTGGTGGAAATCGGGAAAGACTCTGCCAAAACTGGATCAAGTCCATAATCTCCAACTCCGTTCCCAGCTCCTGCCAAACGCTGATGCTCTGCCCCACAGACACCCCCGAACAGACAATGCGCAGCAGAAAAGGAGAAGTCTTCGCACATACCTTCAGGAGTTTTCTTCTTCGGTGCTGCTGCTGCTGGAGTAGGCTTTGGTGGTGCAGTGGCAGGGTAAGTCTTGTTTAAGAATGCAACAGATTTGTCTACATCGTAGTAGTAATTCCATAGTGCATCTTGTATTTGCTTCAGTGTGACTTTTGACGCATTTTTCCCCAAGGCTTTGCGCACTTCAGCAGTCCCATGTTCCATGGCAGCCTGGTCCTCGGGGCTGAGCTCCTCGTCTTCGCCATAATCCTCGCCATAGTCAGAGCCGACGTCGTCGTCATCGTAGTCGTATTTATTTGGCGGCATGTCGGCGATTGGAACGATCGGGAGAGCGACAAGAGGGTTTCTCGGGATTGAGCGCCTGGAGGTTGTTGGTGTGGTTAGGACGGCGATAGGCCCAGATATAAGCAGTTTCAGTGACGTACTATATTGGCACCGTTGAGTCACTCGGTAATCAGCCGTTGACTCTTTCAGAATGGAAACAGACCAGCGCCGAATCCGGGCTCTCTTAAAAGCGCGATAATTGTATGTAAGACGCCGACGCCCGATGTCTTGTCGCAGCCTAAAAAATTTGGTGTGGGAGAAGCTGCTGCTTTTATTTGCGTCGTAAAGCGCCTGGCCTCTAACTGAGGGGCACAGTGGCATCAAACAGCTCCCTGATACGTGAGATAATGCACCAAACAATGGCGGGGCAGAAAGAGCTCGTTGGCGGGGCACAGATTAGTACCACCCTTGTCCATGAGGTGCTGTTCCTTTAGTGCCACCGCTGCTTAGAAGTTAGAGGTGCGATCCCACTAAAGTACCACCGCCCACGGACTTTTTCTTTCACCGCGTGCCGCATTCAAGGAGGTTCTAGTCGGTGATGTTCCAAAAAATTCCAGGCCACCAGCGACGACCTTCCCCCGAAGTTTGAGCTCCTCCACACAGCGATTTGGAGTTTTTGGTCTCACATCGCAGGATCCCATATTTTTCTTAATTTTCAGAGGTAGAGCATCTTGTTCTACCAGCAGCCACGATGGCTCTCAGTGAGTTTGGCCCTCCTTATTATTTTTACTTGGCGGGGCAGTCGACAGGGTAGCTAACGTGGGAGTAGATCTGGATGTTTCCAACGGTACGAGATACGCATACATGAGAGTTGGGAAGCGAACAAATCTAATGACCACTTGTAGCGACGATGTTGAAGGACGAGCAGGGTCGCCCCTTCATCGTTGTCAGAGAGTAGGTCTGCCCGCCCTCAGGATCAACTCCTATCTCGCTGACCAACTCATAGCCAAGGGAAGAAGAGACGTCAGTTCGGCAATGAAGCTGTCAAGTCCCATATCCTCGCCGCACGCACGGTTGCGAACATTGTCAAGACTTCTCTCGGCCCCCGAGGTCTCGACAAGATCCTGATATCCCCCGACGGCGACATTACCATTACGAACGACGGAGCTACGATTCTGCAACAGATGGAGATCAGCAACCATGTCGCTAAGCTTCTCGTTGAGCTGTCCAAGTCACAAGATGACGAGATCGGTGATGGTACTACTGGTGTTGTCGTATTGGCCGGTGCCCTTCTCGAGCAGGCTGCCGATCTCATCGACAAGGGCA